AATAAACAAATATTATCTCTTATTAAAAAATTATGGGAGTTCGCCCCCCCCCCCCCCTACGATATGCATCGCAGAGCACGACGCTAGAAAGACAGCGCGTGCATATTTACAAACAAAAGTTGGCCTCCGGCACCACCACCAGCAACAACGACAGCCGAGCAACCCGCTTCCGTCCACCAGGCGGTGGGCTAAAACTCATCGCCGGCCCGGCGTGCTCGAGCTGACCCAGAAAGCTACACAACAAGAACGAAAAAAGGACCACGGGACGAAAAAAAAAACTCAAGGGCTATATCGAGCACCTGCTCAGCAGCTGTGGGTTTCTCGCCGTTGCTTGGCGACCCTACACACACACGGTTAGACGTTTTGTTCTCGGAAACAACAACATACCCCTTCTCTACTCCCTGATACGGGGATTGGTCGCCTCTGATCCTCTCGGCTCTGCGGCGGCCGGCGAACAAAAATGAAAAAAAAAAAGACACAACACCGCCTTTGCGCCAAAACCTTTGGTACTTTCTAAAGACCAGCAGCACGCCGTTCACATACTTTCACTTCGTCAATCGCACCGCACCCGGACGACACTACAGCGAGGAGAACGGCGAGCAGGCATGGCAGGCCACAGCAGGCAGTGCGCGTAAAAAAATCAAAACGAAAAAAGAAACACGCAACGTGACAGCGAAACGGAGAGTTTCGATCCGCCCAACTTCTACGTCTCCAGGAGGGAACCCAAGCCACCGGGTGTGAGAGAATGATGGGCAAGTGAGGACATGTGCCTCCTGCTAACTACCGCATGACACCGTCGTCAGGCGTCGAGCCCTCCAGCTCCGAAGGGTGGATGGCTGGCGCTCTACTTGTAGACAGCAACGTCAACACCAAATTTTCGGCCGAGCTTTCATTTGACGCCAGCAGAAGCAGACGGTAACCATCCAAAAATAACACGCGCCAACCTTCACCCTCAGCCAGGTGCACCGGAGATCGTGCCTCAATCGAACACTCTCAGCACACAAGCGCGCTCCGTCCGCCACACGGCAAAACGTTCCATCACCAGCCCACAAGACGCCCCCCCCTTTCTCTAGGATGACAAGAAATCAAAGGGAGATATGTAGACGAACCTCCCCTCTTCTCCCCATATTCGTTGTCTTTGGGACGGCAGAAAAACAGAAGAGAAAGAAAAAACCGAAGCGGGAGTGTTGTACAAACACGGCGGCGCAATCTTTTGCGGAGATGATACGACTCGTGGAAAGGAGCAGAGCCCCCGCCCATCACAACCACCACCATCATACGCGTACGTACACGCGTGAGATACCAAAACCTTCTATTGGAGGGTGCGCCCGCTCTGACACCCGCCGAAATGCCGCCACAAAAGCTTGGCTCTATAACTATTAATGTTCAAACACCAAGGCAAACACCCGCCTGCCTCTCTTGACACGAAACCCTTCATGCATTTATTCTCGAGCAGATTATAGGAAGCCTATTGTGTCACGTGTAGCTCACTGTCTAGAAGACCAGTGGTAAAAAAGCAAGAAACATGCACGCATCCAGCCTAACCTCCTCCAAACGGTCCTCCTCGCCTTCCCCCCTCTGAAGGCACGCGGTACGTTCACGATAGAGATTAGTGAGAGCGAACACGCTTCGTATCATACACCGTAAGCACACCCCCCGCTGGACCAGCAGCTTTGTGAAGAACAGCACACCAAGCACGCTACGGGTTCTAGCAGCAGCAACATTTGAAGAACAGCACACCAAGCACGCCACGGTTCTTCTCACACCGGCCGCTCCGATCCCCAAAAGGAGTTCCATCAACGCTGACACACCTCGACACGAGACTAGACTCAAAATAGCGCGAGTTCCAGACGGCTGGTTTAACACCAAACGCTGGCCGGTTGCCTCTCTCTGTGTGTCCTCCCTTTTGCTCCAACATTCCCGACTCGCTTGGCCCTTCTCCAACGCACCGCCGCCCAAAGCTGCAGCACCCCCCCCCCCCAACCCCCATACCGGAAAAGGCAAACGCCAACTGGGGCCTTGTTGACCCCCGCCCGGTTCTTGCATCCTCTCGAAACAAGAGAAGGGAGTTGGGCAGGGGGGTGCGGGCGCAGGCAGCACAAGCCAAGTCCCCGCCCCGAGCACTGACCCACCAGACACACGACAATGCGCGAGACGCAAAAACGCGACCCCTCGTACAGGTTGGTGACACAAACGACAAAAAAAAATAACTTGCGCGCGCGAGCACGGACGCGAGCACGAAAACTCAAACGCACACATACACACATGGTCAAACTTTCACATTGTCATAAATACACAAACGAGGCAAGAAAAATATTGGTGCCCCCCCATGAGGCATAAAATAAGGAGCGCAGATGAGCGCTCGAGGGCGCGCGGGTGGGGGGGCGAGCTCAAAATCAAACAACCCACGGGGCATTCTTCTTTTCTGTCCGCGGGTCGTAGGCCGCTTTGACCGCCGCGGCCGTGTTCCCGCTGCCCGCACCCCCATTCAAAGACGCTCTCCACCCGTTCTCGAATCGGAAGAACGTCAAGCTTGCGACAAGGATGCCCAGCGTGATGTCCACCTTGCGGAGAGAAACATCCAGCAAACAGGCCCGTGCGCGGAGGGGGTGGGGGTCGCAATGAACAGGCATCCAGAGGAGACCGCAAGACGAGCACTGGCGTGATACCATATTTTAAGCCGGGAGTGAGATAACCCTCGCCCAAGACCCCAAGAAGGCGGCAAGTACGCCTTCGCGGGGTGCTACTACTAATACTATTATACAAGTAAGGAAACATGTTAGACAAAGCATGCAATCTGGGCAAGTTGGATTAGGGTTAGGTTAGGGACAGGGTCTGCGTACTGTACCCCCTCACGGCTGTTCAATTTCCTCATAAAACTTAAATTTCTCCCCCAAGGCGGTTCGTTTGCGGAATGCGGCGTACACATGGTACGAAACAAGATTTTTTCTCTTGTCTCTTAATCTACTCCGTATTATAAATCTTGTCTTGTCATGTTCTCTCACCGTATAGTGTTTCCGCCCCGCGATGGCCAGCGTGCACATGGTCAGCAGGTACACGACCCCGAGCGCCTTCCACACGCGGTACGTTGCGTGCCCCCTCCAAGACTTGACGAAGATAAGCATCGTCAGCGTCGTGAACGCCGCGTGCCCGGAAAAGAGCAAGTCCCCGCAAGAGCTGAAATCCCCGACCCTGCCAGCCAAAGAACAGAGCCAAACGGCGGTCGACGTTAAAAATACGCAAACATTATACCGCCTACAGCAAAAGTATGCCTAGGAGTAGTGGGAATGATGTTGAAATTGACGGAAAGGGACGTGTAGGATCATAAAATTGTAATTGTTCGCATCGCACCTTCCTTGTTAAGTGTCAGAAGACAGCAGTCGGAACGCTCCGTTGGGTTGGAATCTGGGCCGGCAACTTCGAAAGGAAACGAAGAAACTCTGGCAACAAGAATATGTACGTGCTAAAGCTGGTGGAAGACACTAACAAAGCTCTTGAACAGCGACGCGCCACATTTTGGTTATACTTCTAGCCTACTGCCTGTCGCCTGTTCAGGCATTCAGGCAACCTAGCAGCAGCTAGTCGGGGCGGTGGCAGACGTGCACAACAAACACACGCACGCACCAGAGCACTGACAATCACTCTCCCCCCACACACACCCGCGACGGAAAACACTCACATGACGCCCATGCGCGTCGCGATCTCGTGCCAGCTGACGGGCGGGTTGTACAGGGCCTTGTCCCTGCAGTGGGGCGCCGGCCCCGGCAGCGACGTCAACCCGATCGTCAGGCAGCGCAGCATGTAGACGATCGACACGAGCCGGAACCAGGACGTGACCAGGGTGACGCGCTGCTTGCGGTCCATGAAGAGGCTGCGGAGGAGCGCGATGCCCGGGAGGAGCGCCGTGAGCGTGTCGCTCACCGGCCTCCAGGGGGAGTCGAGAGTCTGCTCCGGGATGACCAGGAAGCCGATGTCGAACAGAGGCTCCGCCGGGGTGTGCACGTAGGTGGCGAAGTTTACCGTCACTGTGTTGTCATTGTTGTCGTCGTCGTTGTCGGGGGGGGGCGGGGGGCAGAACAGAGGTGAAAAAAAGTACTACATCAAGAAACACAAAAAAGACTACTACTGCTGTACACAACCCTCTGAGATAAAACCACAGAATAGTTATTGATTGCTTAGAATGGAATACTCAGACATTTCCGAACAGCAGCAGCAGCAGCAGCAACCATACTGATACGAACAAAGCACTTGAGAGAGTAGGTTACAGCAGTAGCGTTCATCAAGCAATGTTACACGAACGTGCAAACTGGGCAGGTAGTGGGTCTTCCAATAATATTAAATACATTGATTCTCACTCTCAAGACTCTTTGCTACATAATCTTGCTCTAGTCTTTTTCTGATGAGGGATGACTGCTGTGTATTTTTGTATATCCTTGTTACCAAGAACTTCAGGGTTTGGCATATGCCGTGTATTTACCGCCTAGTTTATGCATGCAGATGTGAGTTGCCGACGGGACATGGGGCGACAGCAGCAGGGTGGCTGGTACAGGAGCAACATTAATACTTGCATGAAGTATGTCCATATTCGCGTGATACGCTTTCAGCAGCATCATAGGTTGAACTCATTTGCAGTTGAATCAGTCCACAGAATGACGACTGGCGCTGTTTGATGCACAACGCAAATTTGGAAAGACAGAACAATATACTCAGCACGCCCACACTGACTACAGGTAGATAATACAAGCTGAAAACATAAGCACAAACCACAACCTTGCTGGCTTTGTACTTGTAGATCCGAGACAAAGCCACCAACATTTCGACAAGCAGCGGTACGCGACACTTGGCACACGAGAAGGGGAGGGACCAACGAGAGATCTAGACGGGTCGAGAAAAACAAAGAGGAGAGAGGAAGCTGCTGCTTTAGCTCGTGGGTTGCTCGATTATGTCTGCGCTTACACAACCAAACCGAACATCGACACTTGTATCATTCCGAGGGCGGCGACTACGGGATAAAAAAACAGAAAATGTGCCGTCCTTTATGCCGTTAAGAGATTTCCCAAAACCTCGTTAGATATAATATACATCTCCGTGTGTTTTATTATTCCTTGGCCCTAAAGCCGATACAGTTGCGCAACAATGGAGGCGCCGACCTCTATGACGCAGCAGCGCCCGCCCAGTAAATAGGTTTCAAATCTGGCGTTGGTGTTCAGAAAAACTGGTGTGTCGAAGCGCAACGACTGATGACTAGCTTGATGTTTCAAATCACAACTTGAACTTGAGCACGCACTGACGGACCCAAACGAAGTACATACTGCTGTACTTGACGCTTCTGTTGCCAGTTCCTACGCGAAAAAAAATACAGCCAGAGAACGAGCACGCTCGAGCACGGACGGAGGTTGTTTACAACTGAGCGGTTTACCCTTTGTGGTGGTGGGGGCAGTGGGCAACGTCGGTGGGCGCGCTAGGAAAAATCCTTCCATTGGAGCTAGTGGCGAAAAAACACGCTCTTTTTCGAGAAAAAAATGCTTCGGCGGAGAGCGAGAGAGGATGGTGACCTGCATCGTAATATTACAGGACACGATTAGAAGAATTCATGCAAACACGAACAACAAAGGGAGGACAGCAGCAACGAACACAAGAGCAGCAGCGCAAGACCACACGCGGCACCCTCACCAGTCATGAACAGGACCACAAGGGCAAGGACCTCGGCGTTCCGGAAGAGAGCCACCATGTCGGGAGGGATCCGCTTGTAGATCATGCGTCGGTAGCAGAACAGCCCTGCGACCCACAACCCCCAGAGCGGCAGCGCCACGGTCCTCCTGTGGAACGACGTCGACCGCGTCCGCAGCTCCTCGATGCGCATCCAGAAGCTCACCCACAGCATCGCGTACTGCGTGCAGCAGGAGGCGATCAGCGAGAACCAGGCCAGGAAGCTCAGCAGCTCCGCCAGGCGCGCTCTCACCGGCATCCTCGCGTCGATCTCGAGGTAGCACAGGCCGCCGCCACCCGCGCAGGAGGGCGAGGCCGCGAACAAGCCCGCGCCGTTGCCGTTGCTGCTGCCGCCGGCCGTGACGGAGCTATCTCTCTCCAGCTTGAGCACCCCCGCCTCCAGGCCCGAGAGCAGCAACGTTTCCGCCGACGTCGACGAGGAGGACTGCTCCGCCACCTGGGAGAACCGCTTCTTGGTGGAGCAGTCCCTGTCCCCTGTTGTAGGGCTAGCTGACGCTGTGTCGTCCGATCCCATGATGTCGTCTGCGGGCGGGCGGGCGTCCTTCTCGCGGCCAACGACCTGCTGTTGCAGCAGAAACCGAAAGGCTCAAATGCACGATCACCGACACGTCCCGCGGCAGTCGTGTCCCGGCAGTAGACCTGGAGCACTGCTGTGGAGGAACGCGAGTGGGAAGGCGAGATCGCGTGACAGAGCTGCTGAGTTCACGCGGCGGCGGCGAGAGAAGAGTGCCCCGATGCCCGCTTTTTCCGCCAATAGAACAATTAGCGTCCCTGACCGATACCGAGCCTCGGACGGAGCAACAACAGGCGCAGCAGCAGGGACGGGCTGGTTGTCGATGTCGGCGTCGGTTGTGCGCCCAGAAAGTACAGCAGTCAAGTCCTCAACGGCAGGCGAAATTGACAGGTAGATGTGGTGGTAATTGGTCATTGGTCATCACGGCAGAGGCGGCAAAAACTAGGAAAAACCCGATGGTTTCGCCGCTTCCTGCTCGCGTGACGCGGGAAAAAACGTTTCAAAAAAAATGTCCCTCTTTTTCCTTGCGATATATATGTACAGCGCGCGGCGCCCCAGGATATGTGTTTACTCCTGCTGGTATGTATGTAGATGGCATGAAGTATGCAACAGCAGTCGAGTTTTTTTACCTTGTCTTCGGGTCTACAGCAGTAGTGGCCCCAATGAGGTAAGGCGGTCGCCGTGTAAGGCTGGTCAAATCGCCCGACATAATTACGTTGATGGACGTCCGGGTGCCCGATATAAGGACCGCAACTCGACCTTATACAGGGACCACTGGAGCTTCTGTAGAACGATCCTGGGACCGATCGAAGAACCAACAGAGAGCAACGGACGGTTACTTACCGCTGCATCACACGGTCGGCGCTGGGGCCGCAGACAGCTCCCACGCGTATGTGCCCAACCAAACTGCACGACAGAAAAGCCGTGTCCAACGGCACAGCAAACAATAAGAACAGCAACAGAGGCCACGTGGCATGCCTGTTAGTCTACCTCATCATCGTCCGTCTCCTCTCATGCGTATGAGGAGTGTTCTCGGTGGTGCGGCACAATCAGCGCCTGCTCATGTTGAGAGAGGCCAGGAGGTCGCGTTGTACAGCAAAAGGAGGAGGTATTCATGATATGCGGTAACGCCGCCCTGCTGTCCGAGTCTCCTGATCATAAATCGAAAGGCAGGAAATTCAAGTTCAGCAGGTGAGACGATAATAATATCCAGTCTGCTGTCAAACAGGACATGCAAGCGTGCCATCAGTGCATTTATTCATGGTGACGGTCGTTTCTTGATAACATTGACTCAAACTAACAACAGGTGGTTTGTTTCTCCGCACGGTCGCTCAGGTTGCTTGTACGTATGGTGCTAACAGTATTGACATGAACTTTGGTCTCGTTGTGCTTTTCTTTCTCCTACATCGGTAAGAAAAAGTTGGTTCACGGGGTTTGAATTCGAGAAGGTAACAACACTTGAAGCGGCTGAGGACCACCCGCTCCTGGCTAACTCTTAGATTCTAGGTATGAGATCACCGCGGGGGCGAAAAACATGTGACAACGCACCCTTCATGCATTTGTTTAATTTACTTATGTGTTAGGCCATACGACTTGGTCATGTCAGTCTGTTTCACATGGGCGGTGTAGTTGTATTGAGAGTTCTCGGTCACCACGAAGCCTGCGAAAGCACCGCTTGCTTCGAAGTTTGTCCAAGCCGATGGAACTACAGTGCGAACCTCCTTTACAGTAACCGTGCGCGCCCCTGTGCCGCTGCGTCGCAACCCTACGTTCCCCTACCGAAAATGTTCTTCACCAACCGCTGCTGCTGTAGGTCCATGATGGGTAGGTTCCACCGGGACGGTTCGCTTGACCGAGCCACGCGGTTGAAGGAGGCGCAGGACCGCCGAATCGGGTACCTTGCAGCCCTAAAGAAGAGAGACCAACAGCAAGAACGCGGTAGCCGTCACCACGTTAACAGCGAACGCCTCGAAAATAATTGGCTCGACAGAGGCGAGATTCATGACCAAGGTGTCGCGTCGGCTGCCGGCAATATGGTAGGTATAGCAGAAATGGCCGCTGGTTCTCCCTTCCCCCGTGGTTCCCACAGCAGCCCGAGGTTCCAGCACACATCAAAAAGGCTGCCCATTCCGAACCGACCATCCACGACGCCAGCGGTGTCACCCACGGGGGCAGTATCACCGGCGAGGATCCGTGGGTTACCTCAAAGGGAGAACCGCCAGGCTGCCAATGAGCGGGCGGTCCGAGTCTATAGCGCCGGTGCACGCGCCGGTCCCAACGGTGGACGAAACCCACATCCACCGGTTGTCTGTAGATCGCCGCCGTGGGACGACAGGACTCTACCGACAACTGCTGACCCACAACGGCGACGCTTGAGCCCCCGGGAGAACGGACGCCACCCTTTGCCTTGGCCTTTGGACGACATCGGTGTCGGAGGGAGGCGCCAGGTGCAAATGTGATAGGATGTGTACAGGTCGTTTGTTCTACGCCTATCTTAGTTTGTAGGTCATGTCGCCACGGAAAGCGGTGGTATATCACTCCACACGGAAACAGCGGCTACTTTCACGGAAAATTGCTGTGGAGCAGCCTCAGTTTCCGAAGCCGACGGCTAAACCCCACGGTTCCCACGCGTCCAATATGCCGCCTTTATCGCTTCGCTTCACTTTCTTGCCTTCCTTTCCAAGGTTGTCTCTAATGTGCCCCACGACGGCGAGATCGACGCCATGAATTCAGATGGGATTGGCGAATGGCGAAAACGACCAGTCCGACCGGCGACCACAGGTAGTGGGCCCAGGAAACGGTTCGCTCGGCCGATGAGCGCATTTTCTGGCCGTTGGGACGGAGGTAGGTCCAGAAAGACGCCGTTAAGAAGTAGTTGGCGATCATATCCCCTCTGTCGGTCCCCGTTCCTAGACCACCAGGTCGTATCGTGTCATCTTCCGTTCTTATCACCTGTCGGGCGTCCTGAACGCAGAGATCCAGCCAAGTCCCTCGGTGCTATCATGCGGCTTCCCTCGACATTCGCCCGCACAGGCATATACCGAATCGATACCCTACCCTCCATTGGATCTCTCGCATCTAGGCACGCGTACCACACATTGTGGGGCCAACCCGCTCCTGACCTTCTTTCTTCCTCTTGTTTGTTCGACGTCCTCCCGCAGATGAATCGTTCCCGGACAAACCGCTTGGGACCATATTCTCGCAGGCGTGCGACGCAAATCAGGAGTGGTTGGATGGCGCAGACGAACCCGTTGTCGGGGAGCCAATAGCGGCTCCACGGGAGCACAAGACGAGCTCAGCGAACGAGGGGCGAGCTTGTTCTCCGCCCGCGAGGGCACATACTCCGGAAGAAACGCCCGCGATGCAGCGAGCCCGCCGACTGGAGCTGCAGCGGCTCGCCATCGAGAAGAGGGAGCTAGAGGCACAGCTCGCGGAGGTCAAGCAGCTCTTGCGGGCAAGCAAGGTGCCGTCGACAAAGGCAAAATCCGTCGGGCTGCCCTGTGAAGCCATCAGGGAGACATCTCCGACGAAATCTCATGGAGAAAGACCAGCACGGCGCAGAAGAAGTAGAAGAAGGAGAAGGCGGCACAAGCGGCGGTCGCCGACGACGGAGAACGATTTTGTGGTGCACGACGGAATGAAGACCCGTCCTCGTCGCTCCAGCGGAAAATCAGAAAAGGGAAACGAGAGGCGCGTGGAGTGCCCTGCTTCGCCCGATCGCGGCCGGTCTGCCTCCGACTCCGCCCGTGATGAAGGGTACAGCAGTCCTAGGAGGAGAAGGAAGGACGGTGGCCAACCAGGCCGTTGCGATACGCGGGAGAGGCAGCCACAGGTTATCGGCAGCACGAGAAGCAGCCCCAAGAGACGAGCAGGAAGTGAAAAGGCGGTGGAGTCTACTGCTATCCCGCCGGTGGCATTCAACAGTTCGGTTTCGATAGGCATGGCAGCGAGCGCCGGTCGGGTAGAAGGGCGTTCTCCTCAGCGAAGAAGGCACCTCGATGCTAGACGAGAAGACTATGTGCCGGGAAGGAGACTGCAGCGACCGAAGTCTGCGGCGCGGCGAACGCGGGCCTCTCCGTGTCCTCCCATGAAGAGCTCCATCGCCTACGGGAGTCCTCCGGACAACGGGGGTTCGGAGGATGGACTGTTTCCACAGCGAAGACTGGGCCGAAGGAGGGAAGAGTCTGGCAGCCGTCGTTCGGCCTCGGCACGCCGGGATCGGAGAGTCCGAGCAGGTGATCCCACCAAGCATGAGCAACGGTTCGCTGCGAGAAGAAGAGGGGACAGGAATCAGGACAACGAGGAACGTCGCGTGTATTTTTCAAAATTTCCTGTCAGAGGGAGTCGTTCGGCTAGTCGGAAGGGGGCGTCTAGTAGAAGGATAGACGGAGGAGGATCACCGTCTTCATCATTTCACGCAACGTCAAAGCGTACGCAGTCAAAGCAGCCGATTGTAGATCGAGGTGCGAAAGCGGTCTCGCTCTGTGATGAAAGTCGTGTCGAGGATGCAACTGGTGCCGAAGATACACAACACGGGTACGAAGATGACTTTGAAGTCCTCAGCGTTCGTGACTCGTACAAGTCTGACTTTGAGCCGTGGGGAAAATCTGAGTCTGACGAGGAGCAGCAGTCCATGGCCAGACACGGCAGCACGGAGTTTCCGCAGAGTACCCAGCGGGTTGCTCTCGACAGCCGCACCAGATATTCGAGGGTGGAGCCGAGCGCAGGAAGAGAAGACGATACACAATTGAGAGTTAGAGAGACCTCCTGTGACGAATGGTGGGGAGGAAATGGTTTCAACCTGACAACCGGTAGCTTACTCCAGGACGACGACGACGACGAGAGCTGGTGTGACGGTCGACCTGGTGCAACTAGCATCTCTCACGCCAACATCCCTGGTGCTGCGAGTTGGAGAGAATGGAACCGGCCGGATGAGGAACACAGCAGGTTCGCCCAATCTGACGCGTGTGACTCCAACACGCCCGAGGCAGCAGCGGCACATGAGGGTAGCCTTACAGGCCACCAGGGGGTTGCTGCTGGGTTTAACCATCTCTGGGTCGACGGCTGCGACAACGTTTTGGTGGATTCTGCTGAGAAAGAAGCCACGGGCGCGGATGGCCCGCGCGCCTCTGGCCAAGGCGACCCCCAGAACGTCGACAGTGGTCTCTACTCGTCTTCTTACGAGGAATACTCGGTCGGCACTGCGGGAGGCCCGCCGTCCGTTCCACTCCCTCTCATGGTTGTTGAGGACGACAACGGCAAGCCAAATGTCTCAGGTAAGCGCCAAGAAGAGGAAAGAGTATCGACCGCCTCGATGTCCGACGGCGGCGCGTCCTTGTACGACATGCTTGGATCTTCCCGTGACAGCAGCTATTCAAGCGAGACTTGGTCGCTCGAGTCCCACGACCGGCCAAGCGTTCTCGGTCGTGGTAGATCAGGATTTGGCGCGGAAGCGGGGATGGCCACAGGGGCGGCGTACGTGTCCGACCGAAAGGCATCGCTCGACGACAGAAGAAAGCGGAGAAGATATTCTGCGGCGGAAGGGGAGTCATCGGATGGGTCGTCATTGTACGACGTCACGTCTGAAACTAGTGTCGACGAAGACAACGCACGACGAGACAGGGACCTCTCCCCGCCCCACGAACATGGTGAAGCTGACAACATCACAACGGATAATTCCGCGTACGCAGTCGATCCTGGTGGGCCTAATCGGCCGGGGGTGTCCCTCGGGCCAACTTCGGGAGACAATGATATCCCCTCCAATAGCTACGCAGAGCCGACAACAGATGATTCGCCAACGCTTCGCAGAGAAGAGGAGAATCCACCAGCAAGCATCGAATCCTCTTGGGATCAGGTATCGACTGATCAACTTCTCCCGCCTCACAGTGGATCAACGGTGAAACAGACGGGCCACGAAGCCGGCGGCGAAGATGTCGACAGGCGTCGGCCTGGGGGGGACGGTTCAGTTGACCGTAATGATGCCGATGTCTCGGTGCCGCACGACGACCGGGGTTGGGCTGAGTCCGTCGGGAAGCGGTCGCAGCCCGGCCGGCCGAGAGCCGGTGGTACCCGTGCCGGTGGGGACAAGATTGGTGGCGTCAATGGGGATGAATTCGAGCTTAACCTGTCGTTTGATGAGTTATCCATCGCCGAAGGGAGCTCCTCGCTTGTTGAGCAGCCACTCGAACACGATGGGGCAGTGAAGCATGGGGTCGCAGGCAAGCAACCTTTCGACCAGCTTTCCACGGGTGATGAACCGAGGGTTGGGCAGACTGGCTCGATCCTCGAACGCCACAGGCGCGACGAGCGACCATACGTCGAGGGCGTCCCCGCCCATCACCGGGGTTCTGTCGATTCGGGAAGCCACGATCGCAAGAGCCAGTTAGACACGGACGAACCTTTGGGCCACCACGTGTGGTCTCTCGGCAGCCATACGGAAGAGCAACACCGGCGGATGTCCGAAGAGGGCTCTGGCGTCAATGTGCGGACTGCTCGAGGGTCTAGTGGTGACGGTTTGGCAAACGGTGAGCATCGCATAGAGGAGCAAGCAGAGACGTACAGTGATTCGTTCGAAGATGCCTCGGTTATCCGGGAGAGTCATCGAGCGTCTCTTGGCCACGAAGACTTGCACGAGGACATTAGTGGACACTTTGCCGTCGAAGAGCACGAGCTTGTTGGGAAGGCAGTGACAGCTGGTGTCCGGGAGGCTGTCACGGCAGGAGGTCCTGTGGAGGGCGAAAGCAGCGATGTTCCCGCCATGCAAGACGACGAGATCGACGGTGAGGGCTCCTTCAACGTGAAAAACACGCCAACTCTAGATTCTAAACAACAACTCCACCGTTCCGACGACCCTACCTCTACTGAACACCAACGTGTCGCTGATCGCGAGGATGCAGGTGCAATCAGGGATGGGATGGCCATGGAGTTGGCCGAATCTTTCGACGAGCTGTCGTCGCTGGAAAAACGAGATGGAATGCACGGAGAGGAAAGCAGTGGCACGCAGTTCGAAGAGGCGGGGAAGTCCTATGCCGAGGGGTCCAATCGTGGTGCAGCTTGCGTTGAGGTAGACCGCAATACTACCGTCGGCAACTACCAGCTCGGACAAGAGGAATCCATGGACGAGTTGTCGTCTCTGGACAAGCAAGGGGAGCCGCACCAAGATGCATCCGTTGGTGGAGTGCCAGTAGAAGGAGGATCATCGATCGATGAATACTTCAGCGGTGGTGCACGAACTATTGACGATACAGCCCCGGGTGGTATCGGGAACAACAACCAACTACAAAACGAGAAGTCCCAGGAAGAGTTGTCGACTCTGGACAAGCAAGGGGAGCCGTACCAGGATGAGTCGGTTGGTGGGGTGCGGACAGGAAGAGAAGAATCGTTTATCGGCGAATACGTAATCGGTAGCGCAAGAACTATTGACCACACAGCTCCGAGTGGCATCGGGAGCAACAGCCAGCTCGGAAACGAGGAGTCCCTGGACGAGTTGTCGTCGCTGGACAAGCAGCCATACCAGGACGGATCCGTTGACGAAATGCCGCCAGGAGCGGAGCCACCTACCGACGGAAGTTTCGATGGTGGCGCACGTAGTATCGAGGATGCAACCTCTGGTGGGGTCGGGAGCAACGGCCAGCTCGGAAACGAGGAGTCCCTGGACGAGTTGTCGTCGCTGGACAAGCAACCATACCAGGACGGATCCGTTGATGAAATGCCGGCAGGGGGGGAGCCACCTACCGATGGAAATTTCAATGGTGGCGGACGTAGTATGGAGAACGCGGCCCCTGGTGGAATCGGGAGCAACGGCCAGCTCGGAAACGAGGAGTCCCTGGACGAGTTGTCGTCGCTTGACGAGCAAGGGGAGCCGTACCAAGATAGATCCGTTGATGAAATGCCGGCAGAAGGGGGGCAACCAACCGATGTAAATTTCGATGGTGGCGCGTGTCGTATGAAGGATGCAGGCCCGGGCGGTATCGGGAGCGACAGCCGGCTCGGAAGCGAGGAGTCCCTGGACGAGTTGTCGTCGCTGGACAAGCAAGGAGAACCGCACCGAGAGGGGTCCACGGAGTGGGTGCCACCAGACCAGACCAACAACTATGGTGGGAAGAAGCGACTTTCGCGTGAGCAGCTTGATGCCCTCGAACCGGCGTCTCAACCACTATACCCGGGTGAAGAGGAGAGGATATCAGCGCCACACGAGGAAGTAGGGGAGATGTCCCTTGATGAATATTTATTGGACGGGCATGACTCGTCCTTCGGTGACCTGCTATCGCTGGGAAGGAGCTCACTTGATAGTGGTCAGTCACTCAGTGGAGACAAGCACTCGCTTGACCAATCGATCGGCGGACTCTCTCCGTCGGATGGGAACGACTCGTTGTTTCTCGATGGAATATCCATTTGTGGATCTATTGTGTCAGAAGGCGGCAAATCTCTGTCTCTCGGCGAGCAGTCTTCATCGGAGGACATGGTGCTGTAGAAGGTTCGGGAACTAAGCTGCGATAGGTGACTTTGCAGGAAGAATGATCTGCAACCAACAACCTACTCGAAATAAAGTGGTAGCGCGGTTAGAGTTGTTTATGGGCGAAGTAAGAGCAAGGGTTACGCTTGAAACGTCAGTACTTGTGGTTAACGTGAAAGCCCACAGAAATCAAGGGAAAAAGGGGTTATTGACTGATAGCGTGCACCGCTTTCGCGGGCGAGGGTACCCACGGCCGGTGGACCAAAACCGTGGGTGTGTTTCGTGGCGGCCAGAAGAAATATTTTGAAACATGTATGCTGGTGCGGAGACGTATAGCAAACCCTCCAAGCCGACACTGGTCGACAACGATGCGTGCTGCCCCAGTAGGATCGGCGTCAAAGGCCCATGGTAACGGACATATATGTTGAGGTTAACCATTGAGCACTATGACAGTGCTGTAAAATTGTAAGCAGCTCCAACATTTGCTGTCAGACGTTTCATGTGCACCGCAGCTGATATGCGGTTGGGCTTTTGCATGATCCCAACACGGCAACGTTCATTATAAACGGAAATTCCACCCCCAAGGGGAACTTTTTGAATCATCCTGCCCCAACCGCCGTTCTCCTTCCCACCTTTCTTTGTTTGCACGATGACCAATATCCAACCTCTCTACCAAAATACTGCAACGGATAGAATTGAAGGTCTTGTTCCCTGGACCGATTTCTCAACGAGCTGTGTGCAAGCCCGTTCCAAAACAACCTTCAACCAAACACCCTAACAACGTAAAAAAAACACCTTAACCAACCATCCTCAATCTAAAGTATGAAGTTCGTAGCATGAGTTAATGTATTACCGACATGGTGGACACACGTATCTGGCAACGTCAACTGGCAACGTGGATCTCGAGGCAGGTGACATAGCAGAGTCCCGTCCCACCCTTCCACTCTTTGGACTTTTTTCGAAGCCGAGTCCCTTCTACACCCCAATGCTTGCCCGAGAAGGTGAAAACACACACACAAGCCAGCAGACCCCTCTCTTCTTCGGTTTAACCTTGGCCGCAGAGCCGGCCGTAGCGCCGGCGAGTAGTTTCTGGGGGCACGGAAGGCGGCCGCATCTGAAGCTGGCCCAGCGGATCAACTTCTGTTGAAAACATGAGCATGACACGCGTCCGTTGTAGCAGGATAGGCGCGCGTACGGGGGGGGGGAAGTAAGTGCGTGCCTTGAACCTGCTGTTGTTGCGTCCTGCGCTTCAACAAACCGCCGAATGGTGCACGTCATTTTTTAACGTGGACGAGAGAGTGTTCTTCGTGTGAGAAATACGCTCTCCGGGCTACACCACTCCCCCCACTCCCCCTCGCCGCATACCAATCCTCCGCAAATAAGTTATATATTGGCACAATGCAAAAGTTCTACGGGTTCAACAAGCTATGAGCACCGTCCCGGAGGGTCATGTCAATCGCTTCATCAACAGGGGCACAATACACGCCACAACGAAACTCAAGCTTATTACGAAAAACAGTTTTGGCAAGTGGAATGTTCAGCACAACAGCAGTTGTCTCTCTCCGCACAGAAGCCTTCGCGTTGTCTTGTTTCCGTGCTCTAACGCGTACAGAGGCTGAAGGAAAACTGCGGCAGGAACAGTATGTGGGACGAAGGCCGTTGCTGCATGAAGTTGCTCACCTGTCGGGCTCGTCGAACAAACAGAGCCCGGTGATGATAGTGGCCTGCGGCTGCTGCGGCTGCCGCTGCTGCTGCCGCCTCCTTGTCCCTCGGTCCCCGCCGAATCATCGTCGCGGCAGCAAATTCGGCCAGACTTATTGGTCGCAGACGCTAGAATGGCCTGCCACATTGCCCGCTGCTGCTGAATAGCCCTCTGGGCAACTTCCGCAGCGCTTCGTTTATCTGACGGGTGAGCCGTCACCTGAAGGGAGGCGTTTGCCTGGCGGGGAGAACGGATGTTGCTCTGCGGACAAGAGGGGGTCGTGTGCGTGTACAGATTGTGCGGTCCGGACGATCACTATACGTTTACGCTCAAGTTTGCGTGGCAGAATGTTTAGAGTGGATATAGTGCTGGGCGGGGAGTGGCCCAACGGCCGATAGTGTCTGGGACAGGACACCTTGGTTCTTTCGAGTTCACCGACAAAGAATACAGTCAGTGAAGCAAGGGAGATGATTAAGCAACTGATGGCATGTGTGTGCACGTTGTTTCGGTACTGTTCACACATCTTGTGCGAGACAACGTAGCATGAACACACCGCAGTAAGTATGTGCTTCGTCCAATGGTAACCTCTTTCTGTGTATTTCCAGTAGTGCTTGCGTAAACAGAAACAGGCACGCAGATAGCGCCCGCGGCTTGTGCCCAAAGGACTTGGTTGAATAATCAAGAACCTCCTCTACGATTGAATCCAAACACGGTCCAAACTACATAAATAGTGTGTCAAGTCAGCGGAAAATTGCTTCTGCAGTTGTTTTTGTTCGGGATAAAACCAGCACAAAGGTACGGTCCCCTACTCACCCTTGGGTCAATGGTGCACCCCGTAAAAGAGGAAGAAAGTGAGCTGAACGGGGGCTCACACTCGTCCCTCGTAACTCTCTGTTCACAAGAGCACGACGCGAGCGGGAAAACACGTCGGTGGGCGGGTTGTTGTTTCCTACCAGGTACATATACTTATTCTTCAAACCACCATTGGGCGACAAGTTTCGGGGCAAAAAGGGTTTGGGCCTGGTACTGCACAACGTTAGGTGTTGACACTGATGCTAGCTGCGGTAACCACCAGGTGCGCTGGGCCGTTACACCCCTCTCTGTCTCGGAATGCGCTCGGAAGTGCTGTGCGGAGTGCTACCATCGCATTTTGATCCTCCACCGTTCGACCAAGGAACACACTCTACAGAATCCCAAATTGCACCTTGTTCTTGCCTCGCTCGTCTAGATCTCCATGGGGTACTAGGCGCGCCTTCCACTCGAAAAAACCGTCGGTGAAGCGTTTCACGGTTCGCTTTGGAGCGAGGTACACTTCAGCATTGGCGGGTGGGGGGTCCGCCCGGGATATTTTGTCTGCGCAAGACTTTGGTGCTCTTCGGAGCCTAACCTGTGTATTATCATTGAGAATCGTCAAGGAGTAAGATATTTCCCCCGGTGATTCCGAACGGATCTCGACGCCCTCAAGGAGCCGCGCGCAACTTCGGGCTATGTGACGGAATCAGCTTTTTCGCTGTCGGAATACTGTAGAATAAATTCAATACTAGTATTATCTGTGCCTGTTGCCCTTTCGACGTTTCTGGTTGTCTCCTTCCCTTTGGACATATCAAGAATGTGCTCTGTCCATGGTTATTGGCCTACAAGTAAGGTGTTGAAGCATGCTTTCTGGCCGAACACTGCAATCCTCCGCCTCGTCGTGAAAATATCATGGGCGCCCCATCTTCCAGCCCTATTTACTGGGGAAAACAAGGTGGTTATTCTACATGTATGCAGTAACAGTAGTAAAGCTTGTGTCCGCGTTGCATCACGCCCATCGTTCTGCACGCACAAAACTCAAGCAGTGACTCGACTACACCCCATGCCCGATTTTCGAGTCAAAGTTACTCTGTTGAAGCACTGAATTCAGTCATTGCCTGCCGTATTTGACGTACCTCGTGTGTACCGAAGGGATCCGGACGCTCTGCTGCTTGGGCCCGAGCTCGCTTGCTCATGTATCTTTGAAACCTGGGAGAACTGTCAACAATAGCGTTGGAGGTTTGTCACAAGCTTTGTGTAAAAAGGGGTGTTGGGGGACATGATACTGTACTGTACAGTAGGTGCGGGTGAATTTCGTGACATACATCTTTGTCCGAATCCGTTGGTGCCACAATATCGCGCTGATAACAATTTGTGGTGATCAGGACCTACAGTAAACGTCTGGACCGTGCCTACAGAGACAGAAACTCGAGAACACGGGACCAAGGACAAGCGCCGGAATGCTGTTCCTCTGAGCAAAGAAAATACTGCATGGTTGATACCTGCTGCTCACCGCCCTTGGGTGCTGTCGAGACACAGCACAAGATTAAGCGATTAAGAGGGAAAACAGGAATCTGTAGCTGTCATGCGGCCGGACCACGTCGGATTGCAAAGAGCGTTACTGCGACGCTCGTGTCGTACATGGTCTATGCCTCTCAACTTCCTATTGCCTTGCTTTGCCGGGAACAATTCGAACACATTTCTCCTTCCAATCTGTGACCCGTGCATACAAGTACCCACGGCGCCTTTGCATGCTCCTGTTCTTTGGATACACACACACACATACCTCGCCAAATCTTCCAGCGCGTTCTCTTTGTAGCCCTCGACAAGCTTCCACCAACAGCAGTCTGTCGGCACCTCCACGGGCGGACATAGCCTCCTCTCGTTCAGTTGATCTCGGGCGTAGGTCGTGGCCTCTTCCCGCCTGCTGCGAAGCATCTCCGACCGAGTCTTACACCGCGGTTCGCTACATGTGTCTCCGTAGTTCGGCTCCGACAGTCCCCAAGGAGGGAGGGTACGCCGAGGTGCCATATTGAGTGCTCCGCGCAGCTGTGGGAGCAACACAATCGTCGAGCGTACGTGTTTTGCTGCTTGCAAAGGGTTTGAACGGTATCCTTCACGCCGTTAGGGTGCCTGTCTTGTGAGGGCAAAGGTCCAGGGCGCTGAGGTACGGCGACATGTGTGCATAAAATGTTCTTCGCCGAGTTCGTTGTTCGTCGCATTTTTCTTCGTCGAATGTTTCGTCGAATGAGAAAAAACACGAAACGGCGAGAAACGCCTCGTGAACTCGTTTCGAATGTGAGCAAGTGTCCGTTGCCTCTTTTTTTCTTATGTCGATCGACATGTCGATGCTCCGCACACAAACACCCGCGTCTAGCTGTGCTGCAGGAGGCAGGGAGCCCACGCGATGTTCGAAGTCTACGTGGACAGGCCTCCGGCCACACCAGCGCCCCCTACGCCCGCGTCTAACTTGGTGAAAACCAAGCTCACGATCAGCAAGCAGCAGCTCGGCGATGAGGAGGTCACACTTGCTCCTCGACTTAGCTTCGCGTCCTTCGCCGGACTCAAGGCCCAGATCGAGGACTTGGTGCGGTCGCTGGCAGGGTTCGAGGAGGGAAGGTGGTGCCTGCTTTCGGTGCAGTTCTGCGACGATGATTTCGACCTCGTTGAGCTTTTGCCGTCGACGTTTGATCCCAGAGACTTCGAGAACGTTCAAGACAAGGTCTACCTCCGGGTTACGGTAGGCAACAAGTCCACCGGGGCCACCGCCGTAGCCCGGCAGCACCTTTCGGCCCCGCTCCCTCCCTCTGCAGTCCACGGAAAGAAGGCAGGGCCGGTTGCGGGTAGAGTGACGGGACCACCGCCGCGGCGTGCGCTGGCACGTCGAGACGAAAACGTCCTCCGCGCTGCTGGTGGTGGTGGTGGTGCTGCTGCTGCCTCAGCACTAGGCGGGCGAGAAGGCTCCGCACGGAAGAAGCCGGCACTACCCGCTGCTGTAGCAGTAGCGACCCCGAGGGCGGCGGCGGCGGCAGGAGGAGTTGCCGTCAGAGCAGCGCGGCCGCCCCCGCCGACAACCTCGCAGAAGGCCAAGAGAACGACGCCGGCGACGCCACGCCAGCAGCACCAGCAGCAGTGCTCGCTTCACCCCGCGTCGGCGAAGGTTGCTACCCGGGGAGTGGGGCGCGATCCCGCGTACGTGTTCAAGGCGGGAAGACTCGGCAACAGCAGCACCACGGGCGATGACCCCCGCAACAGGGAAGGTCGCGACGGTGCGAGGGGGAGCCCGTCCAAGCCGCCGCTGCCCAGCGGCAGGGGGCGGAGTAGGCCCACCGCCGTAGCAGCGGCGGCGGGCGGTGCAAAGAGGCCCGGCTGGAACAGCGGGAATGAGCCAGCGTGGGAAGAGGTAAGGGGGGACATCCACCCACGTGCTCGTCACTCGCCACACTGGTAAAGCAGCCTATAACAAGCGTGCGCATCAAAACTTCACGTCTCGTTTAGCGTGAACCGCACACCTTATCCTCGTAGAACAACTTCATTCATTGACCACTTCCGCGATATGTTCCCTGTCGACCGGTATTTTCGGGTCGGCCCCTTGAGCATAAGCAACTCGCGCGAGGGTTTGCATCTCCCGCCGTCCCGGTCTGTGTTCCGCTGCTGGAACAGGCAGCAGATTTTGGCGTCGATGCAGTGTACCTGAGGCGTAAATGCACACATCACGCTGCACTGATGCAGAGTGCCGCAACAAGCTTCCTTCTGCCGCACACAAAGAATCGCGAGCACGTTCAAGAAAATTCCGTGCCCCCCCCCCCACCGCCTCGCTCACCCAGGTAACTTGAGCCACCCAAATCCCAGGTCTACAATACCCTCTTTACTGGTGTCGATTTGTTTGTGCTTCCCGCCTTGCTAAAACGAAACAGGCGGAGCGAAAGAAAGCGGCCATGCGAAAAGCGGCGAGAGCGCGCATCCTCGGTAAGAGGGCCGCGGCCGCCGCGCAGCAGGTCAGGGGAGGGGGGAAAGGGGATGGAGGAGGTGGGGGAGGAGGCCGGAGGGTGTTCAGGCGGGCGAGGCGTGATTGCCTTGTGATGGACGCACGGCGGAAGAGACTCGGCGCGTATCTATTCTGTGGTAAGGGGTGGCTCCTGCTGTAGTGTGTATGGTGCTGCAAGTGTACTGCAATGCTATGCGTGTGGGGGGGAAACGTACCATTGTTGGAGGTTCAGGCCGAGTTTGATCGCGATCAGACGGGTACCGTCACGTGTGGTCAGACAGGTAATGGCCCAGACGATGATCGCCCTACCTCTTGTCGAGGTCAAAAATGGGGAACTTGGAAAAGCTCCTCGAACACAAAAGCGCGCACAACAGGAGCACACCGCACGTGCTGGAGATATATCTAAACAGGCAAATGTTTCCACACGGCGACAGCAGTACTGCTGTAGTGGCCTCTGAAAGATCTACTACTACGTCTTCGGTTGACCACCCCGTGTCGGCCCACCAATTCAAAACCACGCCACCGCCGGCGCATGCACCCCCGTCCTGTGGCTCTATTTTCGTTCCGCAGATCCGATCGGGGCACCGCCGCCCTCCCTCGGCAAGCGCCGGCTGGAGGCCTACCGAGAGCTCGGGCGGGCTGCCGCGGCGAAGATGAAGTACGTGCCCATCGCCGACGGCGACCCTTCCCCGAAGAGGGGGCGCGGAGAGGGGGGTGGAGGCGGAGGAGGAGGGGTGGGCTTCGTGGTTTTTCCTCGCGGGGACGCGGCGGTGAGACAGGAACGAACGCAGCGTGGCGGAACCGAAGTTTGTCCGCTGTTCGTAGTCGTTGTTCCCTCTGGTTATTCCTCCGCGTTTTTGTTGCCTGACATGTCGTACACATGTACTGTACCTGGCAAGAGACAAAAATTTCGACTCCATCTTTCGCGCCAACAAGAGTGGACAGGGTGCCGACAAAGATTTCATCGTTTCCCCACGCGTCCTCCTATATGTAATTTCATGAGTTTTTTAGACGGAGGCGCACTGTTGTGTGCTCCCCCCCCCCCGCCGTGTCCGCCTCACAGGTGATGCCCGCGAGTTTACCCGCGGCCACAGCCAGCAGCAGTGACGGCACGCCTGGCGCGACCCAAAAGACGGTCACCGACAAGAGAATCGTGATCGTCGCTTCCAACACCAACACCTCGTTCTCCACCACTCCCGCCAGAAAGAGCGCCGCCGCCACCGGCGCCGCCGCGAGGTCGCCATACGCGGCGGCCCCCGTTCCGTCGGCTCTCCGCCCCCCGACGTCACGGCCAGGCGACATCGGCTTCTTCCGAGGCGGGGTTGGCTTCCGGATGCGCCCGCCGCCGCCGACACCGGTGGCAGGAGGAGGACCGACGGCTGGGGCGGCGGCATCAGCAGCAGCAGCAGCAGCAACAACGGTGATTCCTCGGGGGCGGGATGGTGCCGGCGCTGCGGCTGCGGGAGGGGGTCAAGGAGCGGCCGCCCTGACTGCTGCCGCGGCGGCGAAAGTACGGGTCCGCGCCGCTAGCAGCAGTGGTAGCAGCAGGGCCAGTGTTCGAGGGAGTGCGCGACAGCGGCGGGGCGGGGCGGTGGCAGCGTACAAGGAAGCGGCCGGGTTGAGGGGTAAGAAGGAGGATGCCTCGGCGGCAGCGGCGATCATGGCAAAGCTTAAGGGAGGCGGCGGTGGCCGTGGGAAGGGACAAGGGGGAGGCGGCGGCGGCGGCGGGTCTGCTGCTGGTGGGGGTGGTGGGGATGTTGAAAGCCTGCAGGAACAGGTGCGTGAGCATCTAGCGTGGCGTGATGTGCAGAGCTGGCCGGTGCGTGATTGATCATTTGAAAAGGTGTCTATAGGCGTGCTGGGATTAGATTATGAACGCAAGTAGTGTTTGGGAACGAATGTGTTCACACCCCTGAGTGCCGTTCACAAATGCACACATGAAGGGCGCAAGTCCAATTTTGGGAGAATTAGGAGACAAACGCTTGCGCTTCAACTCTCATGTGATTATTTTTATTTTGCGAAGGACGCGTTTGGGATACATAAACGCAAGGCACAATTACTCAATGTTCGGTCTCATAACGCCACCAAGACGCAGAATCATCGAAGCTTAAGCTTGCATAGCATGCCTATTATTTTCTGCCGCTCCTTTGTGTCGACCCCATCCCATCTGCTGCGTGTACTCGCCTCTACCTTTCTTTTGTGCTGTCCCACTCTGCGATCGCTACTTTCTCCGTCCTGCGTTTGACTCTTGTGCCTCTCTGTGGCTCTCCGCCCCCGCCGCTTGGCATGTCACGTAAGGTGGCGTTGCTAAAAGCGGCCGCTGGTTTGTCCGACGAGGAGCTCACGTGGCGAATGGAGACAGCGAAACCGGAGGCGAACGCGTACCGCATCGCCGCGGCGGCGCTGGAGAGGGCGGAGACGACGTACGAACGACTGTTGTGGCGTCAGGTGAGGTGGATTGGAGGCGGAAATACCCCCCCCCCCCCCCCCTTCGATGTTTGCAATCGGGGTTGGGTCTTCGTCGCTTGGCAACGACGTTGTAAAACAAGCCGCTCCCCCCGGTGTTTGCCATCGGGGTTGGGTTTTCGTCACTTGGCAGCGATGTTGTAAATCAAGCCGATTCACTTCGTGAGCTCGGCAACCAGGTTACCGCTTTTTTTTTTTCTGCCTTTGTTTTTTGTTTTTTTTGCGGTAACCATGAATGGTGGTCTAGTAGATTATGTTATGCGGGGTCGAGAACCCTCACTCCGCGCAAAGGGGATAATCGCACGTTGTGTTAAATTGGTCAAACACCCTCGAGGCAGTTACACAGAGCTTACAACTGTCTCTGGAAGTGAAAGCACCCGAAAATATACGCAGCTGTCATCCCTACGCAAGGAAGTAAGCGCAAGATGCCGAATACCCTTAGCAGGATGCAGCGCACCCTTCATGCGACTCGCCGAATACCTCACGGCGCTTCGCGCTTGTTGATGTGAGAGCCTGGTCCGGTGAGAACCCGGCGTGCTCCGTCCCCGCTTTGTAGGGATGCGAGGTCAATAGTCTAACGACTATGGCATGCACGACTATGAATATGAGTACACCCCCCCCCGCGCTGTGACCCTCTGATGACGGGGCGGTCATTAACCTGAAAAATATTTTCCTGGGGTGCCGTAACCGGCCGGACAAATTTCCGTTTTGGTTGTAAGATACGGCAAGTAACTGCCGTTTACTATTGCATGACGCCGATCGAAAGGCGGCCCGAACAAGTGTATCGATACACGTAACCGACGAACTAATACTCTTGATATGTGCGTGTACCAGGTATTGGGACGGCTTTTTGCGGGTACGTTTTTTGGTGTTCTCCCTCGCCGTCGTAGGAAAATCGTACTCCACGTGGGTGAGGTCCCTGGTACGGTGCGCAGTGCACCTCATGCCTCATAACGTGTCGCCTGCTTTGGCTTGCCTGATGTTCTGCGCAAGTTTTGATCGTGCGGTCCACCACCATCGAGAAACCGGCCGGTTTCCCCGCCATTACAGCATCCCGTTGACCAGTCCCAGTAGCAAACTTAAGAGTTCTGACGCACGTCTACCTGTAGCCAACCCTTCTCCATCCATCATCCCGCACGAGCAGGGCCAGCTGGAGACGGCTCGGGCCAGGCTCGCCGGCAGAGGCGTCGGCGGAGACGCGGCAACGGCAGCCTTCGCGACGGCGGCTTCCAAGGTCGAGGCGGCGTCGCCGGGAGCGCTGGGTCAGGAGGACGGCGGCAGCCGCGTGCTGTCCCGCCTCAAGTCTTCCTCGGAGGGCGTCCTGGAGGCGCTTCAGGAGCCCCCGACCACTGCCGGCATGGGCGACTCTGCTGAAAGCGCCGCCGCGGGGAAGCGTGTGCCCCTGCTGACACGAC